TTCACTAATGTAGCTGCAATCTTGATCATCCAAATGTAAGTGCAGCCCTGAGGGAAATCAGTGGGCAATGAGGCCCCTATGACTTACACCTTGAGGTGGGGGTCAGGGGCACCTCTCTACACAACCTGTTAACAGACCAGCCCGTATGACACCTTTTAGCCACTTCCTGTTCTGTCACTACAGCATTCAGAGAGAACCATCCCTAAGTAACAGAGTTTTGGAGATGACTGATAGAGTCCTTTCAATTGAAATAACGTGAAGTCCAGAAGGAGAGAGGTGAAATATATATACCTGTAGAGATGTGTGTCATTTTCCTCTGCTTCTTTGTAGTATTTCATGAAAGGAGTAGCATTTTCAAGTAGATCCAAGTTTACTTGGCAACACTACAAGCACCAAAACAGATTTTCCTTCAGGATAGAAGCGGAGATGACAAGGTTGAAAGGGGAAGCTGTAACATTCCCAAGCCATCGGCCTTGGGAACGACACTGAATTGGGGCAATCGCTTAGACATTTTTAAAGAAAGATCATCCAACTCTAGTCATGAACACTAACTCTTCCCTCCACCCCCCTAACAAAGGCCAACATGACTGTCACTAGCATTCCCATAGCCTTTGGCTAGAGGTTTATTCCAAATAGAAATTTCATTCGAACCAACGGCAAAGCCTGGTATTTTCATGCTTTCAGACACAAATGATCTCTGCACATACTGAATGGTTTCAGCAGCAACATGGAGTCCATGGAAGGACCTGGCCATGGACATTGCAAGTAACAGGAAGTAACAGAGATAGGAAATGTGACTAATATAATCAGCTAGAATTCTTTGGGTTGTAAATGACAGAAAAAAAAAAACTAATTCAGACACTAAGGACTTTAAGAATTCAGAGGGATTTAAAAAAAAAGAGCTAGCTTCAGTGATGCCTGGTAGAACTACTAAGTATCATTTAAGATCTAAGTTGGCTGCATGGTAGCCAGAGGAGAGAGGCATGTCTACCTTACACGTCCTAACAATTCACAGACCAGAAGAGTCTCTCCCCTTAGCTTCTATACCAGTCCTCTTGATTTACCCTCAGTTTTGCCCCAGATTGATATCTGTCCTGCCTCCTCCTAAACCACAGCTTGAGGCTCAATGAGTGGCTTTTGCTGATTAAATTTATGCCAATAAAGATCTGCCCTGGCCTTCGAGGTGGAGGCAGTCCCACCCAAATCACAAGGCTAAGCATGAGGAAGGGAGAATGCCCACAGAAATATCAGGATCCTCCTGGGGGGTGGGGGGAACATGTCTATGAGACCATAAGCACCTACCATAGTCAGTGTTTCTAAACCAAGTCTCTGACAGCTTTGGGCCCGCTTTATTATGTGAGGAACTCTAGAGTTTGTGTACTTCTTGTAAATGCCGAGTCAGTCTGAAAGATACGACAGCAGTGCCTTTTGTTAGTTCTACTTTTCAGGAACCACTGCCTATCCTATCTGAGTGTGAACATTTTAGCCTGTCACTGCAAAGTCACAGCCACTTGAATACATACGCTTCACTGTTCCAGACTGTCACAGCATGAGAGCATTTAGTTAGATTGGAGCTAGGAAGTGCTCTGCCTGGATCTCAAGAGCATCTCCGAGGAAGAACCAGCCTGGAGGCCACCATGCAGCGACAGCACTCTTGGTGCCATCTCCCATCCGTCACCATATGCACAGCAGAAGTCGTTACAATAATGATAATTAATATTTACTGAGCTATATGTGGAACAGCGTTCTAAATACTACGAATTAACTCAAACTCACTTCATCTTCACAGTGGCCCCATTTATAAGGTATTCTTACTATTACTTTAGTCCCCTCATCTGTAGGATATGTACTCCAAGATCCTGACTGCCTGCTCGAAACCACCACTATAACCCTACATAGATTGTTTACCCCTACAAACACACCTATAAGTTATAAATCAGCCCCAGGAAGACATGAACACTGATTAATCCAACAGAACCGTTGGAACAGTGTGGCCAAATGAAAGTTGCATGAATGGATGTTCTCTTGTTTCCAAAATACCTTGTGCTGCACTCACCCTTCGGAGGCTAAGGCAGTGAGCTGCTGTAGGGCCTACGTGATGAGACGGACAGAGGTGAGCGGCCCAGGCATTGTGAGCTGGCCTGAGGCCACTGGTGACCATATCCTCTGATGATATGTCAGGAGGGGCGTCCACTGAGCCATGACAGTGTGTGCAGGTAGCAGAGACAACATGATTACACTGGACAAAGAGATGACTCACATCCTGGGCGGGACAGAGATGAGTAACGCGATTTCATCACACTCCTCACAACAGCGCACAATGTAAAAACTTACGAGTTATTTCTGGAATTTCCCCCCGCGTATTTCCAGACCACCGCTGCCCATGGATCACGGAGACCACAGAAAGCATAGCCACAGATGGGGGGGAACAGCTGGGTTGTTGTCATTGTCATCATTCTTTTCCTCATCCCCTTACTGACACACCAGAGGCAAAGTGGGGTAAGGACACATGGCCCACATGCCATGTCCCTGGAAAGCAGCCGCCCAGAGAGCCCGGGGAACACACCTTCCCTGTGGTGTGGCAATCTCCCAATTTCCCCATTTTAGGACTTTGAGATCCAAGAAGGCAGAACGAGTGATTTGAGGAAGGGAAATAGGAAGCTAAAGGGGCCATGCCTCTAAGTCGTTCCAGCCTCTCTTTCCCAGTGCCACAGTCCAGTGTGATGCTGAGTCAGACACTGCAGTGTGAATGGGGCATCTGTCCTGGCTCATTCTATCAAGTGCAGAGACTCTCCTGAGTCCTCTTATTGCCATTTGGAAATAGGCAGTGAGCACTGAGTATCAAGGGAAGAATTACATAGCATTCCTCCATTACTGGCTTCAGCCAAAGGTTCTCGCCCTAGCCCTGGTAGAAGTGGTGGAGGTGGTGAGTCAGGCGAGCACAGGTTCACCTGAGGAGAAGGTAGTTCCCATAGCAGCTGCTCCTTGTCCTGGTAGTAGCCAGGACAGTAGCTGTGCCCCAAAGCACAGCCAGTCTTTAGGAGTGCGGCGTAGTACATGCACAAGCAGCCCCTGGCATGGGTTTTCCTGCTTTTTTGAATACTTTCCCCGAGTGAGGAGGCAAAGCCCATTTGACAGAGAAGACACATCTCTATTGACTTTTTACAAACCTCATGATAGTCTAGGTGGGTCGACACTTATCATAGCCCTTTAATCTGCCAGGCAGGATAATGTGTGCGCGGATAATTTATCCACTGTGAGATTGAAATGCTCAATTTGGAATAACTTTCCCTACCCAGCAAATTGAGCATTACTCTGTGATTCTGAGGCAGGGAGAAAGCACAATTTGAAAGGCTTTGCAGAGCTCCTTTGTAATTAGTCTCAGCTTCCCTTGAATATTAATTTGCCCCTCGTCACTTTCCAGTGATTTAGAGACTGTCACGAGAACGGCAGAGATGCACCCTGAGAAGGATGACAGAGCGCGCTGGGCCTCCAACACCTATCAGGAAGAAGTCTGCAGAAAGCACCCTCCGTCCCTCCGTGCGGGGCGTGCTTATCAGGGCAAACACTTTAATATTTATGCTAAGAGGATTGTCAGAAGCAGCTTCTGTTGCTTTAATTCTTGTTTTAAATAAATAATGAGAACATTTAAACACATTACTCTTCTTGGGGCCCTGAGGTCAGCTAATCTTATTATTTATGAAGTGATGTGCTACATAATAGTACTTAGTGCATGTTAACAGACGCTATTATCAGGGCCTGATGCAGAGAGCTGAAGATATATTGGAATGTTACTTGTAATGTACGACGGATTGAGTGCATAGGATGCCGGTAGAGCAATTAACCACATGTGAAAATAGGTGTAAAGTTGAAGTATATTCCCCCCACCCCCTGGGGTCCCCTCACCATTAATAATTCCCTAGAGAAGAAGACATCTTTAAGTTAGGGATCTTCTCTGCCATCAGGCCCCGAGTGGGGCTAGGCTATCCCATTCTTTGATCTCTTCAGAGTCACACTAGCACAGGCAAAGGACTAATGGAAATGATGACCACTTCTAACTGCTGAAGACTGAGAGGCGCAAAGGTGGAGCCTATGCAGCCCCTTCCTGAGGACTGGGCATTTGGTTTGGGTTGCACACATACACTTTCACTGCAAAGTGCTCCCACAGAACAGAGGAGGTGCTCCTTCTTGGATGCAATTTACTTCCTTCTCTTTGGTTCTTTTTTTTTTTTTTTTTCAGATAAATGAAGTAGAAGCCCAATTTTAAATAAGCTCAACTCTGAAGGTAGATGCCTGATGATCATGCCCCAACTTTTTTCCTAGGAGGCTATAATTTAGCCGTATATGATAATTAATTTCTCTACTATTGATGAATAATCCATTTAATAAAAAGCGTGATTTAAGTGTTTTCCTTAGGGACTAACTCTTGCTAGCCTCTTAATTTAATTTTGTGGAAGTTTCCCTCATCTATTCATCAGTGGAAATGATTATTAACCTCTATTTGCATATATCCTTATAAACCAGTCTCTCCTTGGAGTGCCTTTTTCTGAGCCTAGCAAGCTGGGACACTTGTAAATCTCCAGGATCTCCAAAGTCAATCCTGGCCTGTAATATTGTTTAATCTATTCTTGGACGTTTTAATGCAGTAAATTCAATTTAATCTTTCCCAGTAATCTAGTAATACATTGAAATCCCACAAACATTTAAATCTGATAATGGCTTAATCACACACTTTAAATAACAGTTGAGATAATGAAAAAATAATTCACCATTTTAAAGGCAGAGTCCCTGCATTTCCCTGATGACAGGCCTTTCTGAAGCCACATTGTTTTTCCTTCTTAGAAGCACCTACTTCCTGCCTAGCAAACTTAACTTTTCCCATCATCCCACAGACGATCCTTTGGGGGAGTATTTGCCCATGTTTATCTCCAGGTTTTCCATGAGTTTGGACCTTGTAGAAATTTCCCATAATGCTTAATTGCCTGTTCTTACTCTCCCAGGTGCCAGGCCCGAATCGCCCGGAATTTGCCAGTGGATCAGAGACCAGACTGCCGACCATATTGGGAGAAGGATGACCCTGCCATGCCTCTGCCCTTTGACCTCTCTGACATCATTTCAGAGTTCAGAGGTCAGCTTCTGGAAGCAAAACACTAGAAGGAGCATGAGTCTTAGGTGAAGGAACAGAAGTTATCTTTGAACTTTCTTCTCCAGTCTTGGTCAAGCACATTGAGGCTTCTCCTGGCCCTTAGGTTGTAGAACCAAGTCCCAGGTCAAAACAGCTAGGAAACAAAACCGGTGAATGTCAAAATGTTGAAAAATGACACAGTATCATAGTCCTATTTAGCACTGAATAGGAACTTCTAGAAAATTCTTGCCCCTTGGGATTTGTGTATGTGGGGGGGTGGGCTTTTACCCTCCAGGGGTAGCAACATGAATACCCCCAGCCTGGGACACAGGGTGACCTCCTTTCCTCCTTAGCCAGCTGCCCTGGAGTCTTGAAGTGGTCCCAGTTACCCAGGGCAAGACAGGGTTTTGACACATCCATCCCAATTTCTTTAGAGGCTGTACCATCCAACAGGGTAGCCACCAGCTAGCCGTGGCTACTCGGAATTAAAACTGCTGTTAATTATAACTGACAGTCCTTTCCTCCATTGTCCCAGTCACATTTCAAGTGCTTAACAGAGACTTGTGGCTGGTGACTACTGCTTTGGACAGCACAGACATGAAATGTTTTCATCATTGAACAAAGCCCCCTAGGACAAGATGTCTGTAAAAAGTTTGAGAACAGGCATTCCCTTTTCCAGTCCTCTCTTGCCACTGTTCTCATGGAGGTGGGGGTGAGAAATGAAAGGAGCAGTGACTGAAGAATAGCCTCTTCTCTTCTCTGAAACAAGGCTCAGTAGGGCTGACCTGAGAGCTCTGTGCTCCACACACAGGAACGGGGAGGCGTTAACAAAGAAAACAAGGCCAAACTCCTGTCTTTGCAGAGTTCCCCTGATCTGATGACAGAGACCTAGTGCTATTTACGTTGCTTTGTGGATTTAACCGGCGGAGTACCTTTTGGTTTTCCCAGACAACCCCCATTTTGTCGGTAATGACAGGGCATCAAGGAGATGGTGCAGAGTAGGGGTTGAGCCTGGGTTGTAGTTCCAGAGCGGCAGGACTAAGACTCCACTAGTTTTACAATCTTCCATACTTGCTTGTGCCTCGGTTTCCTCATCTGTAGAATAGAGATGCTAAGGACACCAGCTCCCAAGATGACCTAAGTGATCTAGCTACAGACTTTGAACAATGTCTGGTATGATTTCTAGCCATGATTATCTGGCTCCCTACCCCATGAACATGAGTGTTGTTGTGTATCACTAAGCTGACTTTGGATGCTCTTCTCCCTCTTCCCAGGCTTGTGCCAGTGGTATCTCATGGTACACTGACCTTTTGCTTTTTTGGCTTGACTCCTGTCCTTTATTGTCCTCAGAAATTGTGACAGCAGTGAGCCCCTCTTTTCAGCCCGTAGACTTCTCTAGTAGTTGTTTGCAGTAGTTTAGAGGCTGAGGACAAATGCTTTCCTGCTCTCAGGACTCACTGGCTCAAAGCACTCCTCCCTGCCCACAGAGTCAGCTGTGGACAAGCCCCATTTCACCAGGTAGCCAGGGTTTCATCATGGGGAGACTCGGGGCTCTCAGACCTTGGATTAAATTCCTGACGACTCTGGACCTCAACTTCCTCATCAGTAAAAGAAAAGTGATGTGGACCTCACAGGGATTTTGCAGAGAGTAGATGCAATGACATAGGCACACAGGTGCCACACACTGAGTCACTACACACATACACACACACAGGCATACACGCATGCACACACACACAGGCATACATAGGTACACACAGAGTCCCTGGCCCTCCAACTCAGTGTTTTATTGAGCACTATGGTGTTTCTTCCTTATTATATTCCATTAGATGCCAATATTTAAAAATTGGGAGATTTCACATAAAAATGAAAATGTCTGTATTTTCTTTAAATCTCAGAACACCTAGCAGTCCTAGGTTCCACCCTAGCATGGCAGCAGCTCCAAAGCAGCCAGGACCTTCTGGGGTTTGCTGAGACTCTGTTGCTCCCTGTGATCATTTATTGTAACCCTGGCCTGCTCCCTTCCCCCCCCCCCCCGACTTTGTATCAGCGCTCCCTGAGCCTGCTTGCTTGTGCCTCTGTAGTAGGAATCAGTAATGTTTAGTGCTCACCCCAATATATGCATATTCTTATGAGTTGTATTCACGAGCTGCTTGTATTAATATGTTATGTGCATTGTTACGCATTCTAAGACAATAAAGATAGAAAAAGATCAGCTCTGACACCTGAGAGGTTCTGTGCTTTTCTTGCTCATCAGTGAAAGGGCCTGCTGTGCTCTCCTGGGTGGATCCGGGGTGGATGGAGGCCCTTAGCAGATTCTCCAGGTATAGCCAAGTGATGTAAGAGGAGTTGGAGAAGCCATGACCTTAACTGAATCCAACAGGCAAGATTGCATTTTCCAGAAGAAAGATGGCTTCCAGAAGGCATACTTAAACCTTAATGGTCAAGGAGGTGGAGGGTAGGGTTTGAAGTGGTAGAAGGATTGGAGGCAGGAGACAATAGAACGGTGGCTGGCAGGGAGCTGACTGTCAACTTCCATCTTGCCAGGTGGTAAGCTGGGTAGACTTTGCTGGGAACATGGGCCCAGAGATCCTTATGGCCCTAGGTGAGGAGCCAGCAATGTGGCATCAGCACCAGCTCCTCCCCCTCCTCCTATGGGGCTCCCTGGTTGTGGAGTCCCAGTTCCCTTGAGAAAAGTAACCTGAGACATTCCTTCATCCTCAGTGGCTTCAGTCCTGCCTTTCTTATGCCCAACACCAGTAGTATGGCATAATCTAGAATCCAAAAGCTGGTAGATCAGTGATCAGTAGACAGAGGAGGGAGAAAAGAGAGCTTTCTGCAGGGGGGGGGGGGGGGGGCGGGGAGGGAGACTGCAGGCACAAAGTCCTCAGGGGAGTTGGAGGGTTAGAGCAGCTCCAGAAAAGAAAAGGACCCTTGTGACCAAAGGGAAGGAGCCAGTGATATAGCCCAGCAGGGATAGACATGGCACCAGGCTCTGAGGTTTGTTTTCTCCTGCCCTGGGAAATGCAGAAGGCTTCGTGCAGAGCATGCTCAGGGTGACTAGACAAGGTAGTTTTATACTGTCATTGATCACTCTGGCTACTTCCCCATTTCAAGAGACATTGGGCAGGTGGGGGCGGGGAAGACAGCTCCAGCCCAGGCCAAGGAGCCTCCTTTCCAGTTGAGAGTTCCATTGGTGGGGAAGGCTGCTGGCAGTGAGTACCTGTTGTTTGCAGTTCCCGCTGAGCATCACCCACTCGGCCACAGCCACGGCCATTTCTCCTCTCCAGCAGCCGCCAGCCCAAGTGAGGTTTTTAGACAGCAAAGGGCCGGGTCATGGCACTGCTTATGACACGGTTTCAGTAATAAGCTTCTAAATCATCACTGAGTCGGTCGAGGGATGCTGGAAATGAGATCCCATCGGCCCTGTTAATGGACGCCCGTGCTCAGGAGCATTTTGTGTGTTTCAGGGAAGGTTATTTTCCAGTGAAACTTCTTTTCCTCTGCTCTAGTTAAAGCTGATTTTTTTTTTTTTAACCACTGGGCAAATTGCATACATTTGGATCTGTGCCACACTAAATGCTGTTTACTTTGGAGATCTGTCAGAGGCGAGCACATGAAGACAAGAGGATTCTGATTTGAAAAAGCGACTCTCATCCGAACAGATTCAGATGGAGCGAGGCGGCGCGGATTAAAATGCGCTGAGGTGGTAATGCTGCTGATCCAGTTTGCCTTTGTTACTCTGTGATTAAATGGTATTTTTAATTAAGTTTCATTGGGAGCCATAGGTATCGCCGTGGTGAAATCAATTTGACAACCATAAAGGGGGAGGGAAGGCCCAGGCTGGTTGTAATAGCTGGGACTGACTGCAGCAGAGAGAAAGAGGTGGGGGGAAACAGGGAGAGAGAGAGAGAGAATGAGAGAGAGAGAGAGAGAGAAAGAGCGCCAGCAGCTCTGAGTTGGGCCCAGGAGTCCTAATGACTCCCAGCAAGGTGACCAGGTCCCCGGGGCTGTAGCTGTGCTAGGGAAGTTGGTTTCAGGGAAAGGAATACCTTGCTTCTCTCGCTAGTCTGAGATACCCCAGTACATTCTGGAGACAGCTGGAAAGTCCAGGTCTCTTTCTTGAGTGTCTTATGAACAAAGAAAATGCTGTGTTCTCTCACACTGCCCCCAGCACAGCCCCACACACCCAGCCCCCATGATTCTCATCCTGCCGCCCCATTCTCAAACAGCTCAGGTCTGACCCCCTCCCTGCCTGGCAGAAGCCAGTTCTTCCTAACGCCCAGCCTTGATCCTCCTACAACTTCTACCCATCCCCAACGTCCACCCATCTGCTTACTATCCCTCAGATTCCCCAAATCTGAGTGGCGGTGAAGGTCGTGGTCTGTGGACTTCTTCCGTGTGGCCTGGTTCTGAGGCTGCAAAGGCACCACCCCTCCAAGCCTCAGTTTGCCCATCTAGGAAGTGGGAGTGGGAGTCAGAACCTCAGGCAGTCATGAAGTTCAGTACGTCAACGTGCACATGAAATAGCTCCTCTGGGACCCAGCACACATGGGTCTGCCATGAGGTTCCAGCTGCTATCTTTAATTTTGTGTTGTTTTCATTAGAACATATCAATTATACAAAAAAGTCTTGTTGTTCTCTCTCCATACATGTATGATGTCCTTTGATCAAATTCACCCCATATGTTACTTTCTTTTTTAAATTTTATTTATTTTTTATGTGTGTCGGTCGTGGGCCTGGGTGCTGTCTGAGAGGTGTTTTTTTTTTGCTCAAGGCTAATACTCTACCACTAGAGCCACAGCTATACTTCCAGCTTTTCTTCCTCCTCCTCCTCCTTCTCTTCTTCTTCCTCTTTCTTCCTCTTCCTCTTCTTCTTCTTTCCTTTGATGGTTAATTGGAGATGAGAGTCTCCTGAAGTTTCCTGCCCAGGCTGGCTTTGAACTGCAATCCTCAGATCTCAGCCTCCTGAGTAGCTAGGATTACAGGCATGAGCCACTGGCATCTGGTTCTGTTATTTTCTTCTCCCTCTTCCTACCTCTCTTTGAAATGGTTAATAATCTTCATTGTTCTGTTTTCCTACTGCTATCATTCACCGCTCCCTGCGAGGAAGGCTTCGGAATTCAGGCAGATTGCCTCACTTCTCAGCGTTCCTATTTGGGAATGATGATAAGGCTCATCACTACCACCTATTATGATCTCTGTCACCTGTGACCACCATGGGCAGGGAGATTTTCACTTGTGCCCCACTTAGTAAACCACGCCATGCATCTAAATTATGATCGTCAGTAGAATCTTGCTGGAGACGCTCAACAGTCACAAAGTAGAGATGAGAGAGCTGTAGACTGTTAAGAAGGATAGTGTCTCCCCATCTTGTGTTATCCAATTTGCTATTCATGGCTTCCATTTTTTTCCCCTAGGCAGATGGCCTGGAACATCTTATAAATGAGATACTATGAAAAATGATTCCCCAGAACTCCCATTACCACAGGGAGATTAGGTCACCCTTGCAATTTTAGATTTGCTTAAAAACATTGCTGCCACCACCTTCTAATGGATAATCTGTGTACAACAATTGTTTATTGACTGAGAATGTCTAAGTACTAGGGTCAGGCTATTGCGAGGGGAGGGAAGCGTTAATTAACTGCCGGCATCAGAAACCATGATTCTTTTCCAATGGTGCAGTTCATGACTTTGTTCACATTTACTTTTCATCAGTCCTGAAAGAATCGAGGTGAAATAGTTCCTCCGCACACATATGTCAGGCTAAATGGATAACAGCAGATACAGATCTGTTTGCCTGTCTGCACTTGCCTTTAGACAAAATTCATCAATTTTACAAAAGCCACGGGCTAAACATGGCACTCATACTAATGAAGTGCTTCTAGCCCTGGTTTTCCCCCTGTGTTTTAATCTGTAAATGTGGTGGCTTCTTGCTGAGAGACAGGAAGTGCTGGCCTGGGACACGCTCTGTGCCCTCCTGATGGGGACACAAAGGCCAAGTCTATGTAATCCATGGGGGTTTAGGACAAGTGCAGGGGTCCTGGATACTGGTTGCTGGCCACGTCATGTGATCCCTCCACAGTCTTCCTTGGTGTTGCAGATCAGATGGAGACCACTAGTGATGGCCTCTGCCTTCCTGGTACCATTTTGAAGGGATTCTGGCCCTGCCCAGCCTCTGAGACAAAGAGATCCCACAGGTAAAACTCACCCCAGCCCTGTGCACTCCGGACATTTTCTGGCATTTGAAGGATATCAGAAGTGCAAAATCCAAAGAACGATGATGGCCATTAACCATAATGAGGCCAGTATGGTGGATCACACCTGTAATCCCAGCTACAAGAGAGACAGAGGTCAGGATGATTAAGGGTTTAAGGCCAACTATGGCCAAAAGGTAGTGAGACCTCCATCTCAACACAAAGTCATGTGTAATGGTGTGTGCCTGTCATCCCTCTATTTGGGAGAAAGGAACATGGTACAAGCTGGACCTGGAAAAAAAATAAAAAGGACAATTTACCTGGAAAAAAAAGTGAAATGACTGGAGACTGGGAGCCTGGCTCAAGCGGTAGAGCACCTGCCTAACAAGGGGAGGCCCTAAGTTCAAACCTGAGTACCAGCAACCAAAACCAAAACAATAAAGCGGTCTAACTATCTGTGTCATGGAAGGCTTTCTGCATGTTTATCACTTCTGATTATGCCAGGCCCATCTGACAAGAGCTGCCGATGGCTGGTTCTTGAGGCTTCGACAAGCAACCAGAGTACCTTTTGTACAGGAGCAGTCACAACAAATTAAGCTAAGCGCTCCTCTTTCATTTCTTCAGTCTCCATACTGTCTGTGGAAAATGCCAGGCTTGAGTACAGGTATGTTCGGCCCTCTGTAAAATGATCCTGGAACCTCAAACTCACAGGTGAGGGAGCAACTTCATTTGCTTCTTTGCTAAACTTGCCATCCCCACTAGGAAACCCAGGGTAGCTTTCAAAGAGAGGATTGGGTTTTTCACTTCGGAGCAAGCGCAGTTAACCTGCCAACCCCCAGAGCCCACAAGGGATGAATCAATTTCTCAGAGCAGCAAAAGGGATCACTGGTAACTCATCCAACACTGAAAACCGGACCTCTGGCCACCTCCTTCCCTCCCCCTTCCCACCCCTGCCGCCAGCTCTTCAGACAGATGTCCACTTGATTACGCCCTGGTTACCGTTGAGGGCAGAGCGCCCAGGT